GAGAGAGAGAGAGAGAGAGAGAGAGAGAGAGAGAGAGAGAGAGAATAGCTAAGGTGATGGAGGATTTGACTAGTTTTTCTGTGGTGCTATGACCTTGGTTTCATAGTTGTAAAAATTGATTTATTATTGGTATACTCCCAAAAGTGTTTTGGGATGCTTTGTTTATAACTAAACCCGTTTTTGCAATTTTGAAAGGAAGCATGCATATATATATTTTTTCTCCATGTATTTATTGCAGGGGGAGACAGACAGACAGACAGATAGTTGAGTTAGGTAGGAATATTTTACCAGTTGATAGGTATGTTAGGCTGACATTAAGCAAAATTTCCTGAATCTTACCATCTTTGGATCACAGATTTCACAGATTTTCCCAAAAGGAATACCCTTGAAAGGCCATCTAAGTATTTTGACATTTAGAACAGGGACCATGTGGCAGGTTTGACCATTATCTAGATAATAGAAACACTTTTCACAAACCGGAGTACAAAGATGCAAAAGAAATTATGTATGTGTATAGTCACATCTATACACACGGAGATCAGAAACAAAAGCCTTATAAAGTAGTACCATTTCATAACACATAATACATGTTCCATTCTGTTTCTTTCAAAATAAAATGCTGGTTACAGGCCACTATGCAATTTTCTGATTCAGCTGTTTAACGGGGAAAAAAGGTACTTGTATAACTGATTTCAGTGTTCCTTACTCAGGTGAGTATCTTCATAAAAAATTAAATTTTAATAGTTTCAGTGTGGGTTTCTGCCAAGACCTGGCTAATGTCTTAGTGGACTTTATTGTTTTATTCTGACTCTTCCATCTATGTTCCTATTGTTGCATTGCAAAAAAAAATGATCTTCATAGTTGCTACAGCTGTTTCAGACAGCTGTTTGAGTAACGCAAAACAGATGTCAGAGCCAGAGGTCTGACATTTAGTGGAAATGTGCTATTAAATACCACCTCATGGTTTATGTAACCCTGCTAGTTAATTGCCCACAGAGGAAAGGCCTGCTTTTGGGGAAAAAAACCATGCTTTTTCATAATTATACAAAGTACATAGATAGGTAAGTTGTGTACTTTATGTTTGTATCTTCTTTATTACCCTAAGCTATAGTTTTGACTTAGATTTGGACCTTCAGATAGTAGCTGCTGTTTCATTTTTGCAGTGTACCTAGAAGCTCAAAGAAGTTAAATTCCTTATTCATGGCGCTTCAGCAAGTTCAATTAGGCATTTGAACTTATCTCAATGGCCCCACTAAACTGTTATCCAAATTAATAAAGGTAACATTGCCTCTCCATTTAGTGAGGTGATAAACCTACGGCTAGCACCATCTTGTATAATAGCCAATATAAACTGAAGTGTGTTCAAGGTGTGAATGTGTGCACATTTAGTTTTGCAATTGCATCTTTCCTGATTAATCTCTAGATAGTTCCTACCCACTTGAGGGATTTCAGTGGCTCAGTGTTTATTTAAACACTGAACATTAGCCAGTTTTGATCTAATCTATTTATCTAATTATAATCTGCCTTTCTGTCTGTAAGTATATGTAGCAATTGAATACTAGCATAATAAAAGTCATTATCTATTCTAAGACTTTTTCCAAATCTCGACCATTATGCTACAGGAACACTAGGTAAACCAAACAAAAGAAATAATTTTAAAAATAAAGCCTATAAGCAATTTGTCCATAAATCTTTGTTCATTTAGCAGCCTAAAGATGTATTTTATATGTACAGTGTGTGCACTGATAAGAGAAACACTCTCCGGGGGTATTGTGCTCTCTAAAGTGAGGTGCCACTTTATATAGATTAATGAAGAAAGGATCCAAGATAAGCTTTTAGTGCAGTGAGACAAGAAAACAGCAGTGCTGTGTGGGCTTTCTGCTGCCTTACAGTCTCTTGCCTACTGACCTATGCCACATAATTTTTGTCCCCAACAGCACATGCCATCCTGTCCCTCTCATACCATCCCTGCCTGAAGAAGCTCACATAGATTCTTTCAAATGCTCCTAAATCACTAGCCCAATGGAGCTCTGTAAAACCTGTGGTCTTTCAAATTTCAAATCTTGTTCCATGGGTCTTTTGTGAAAGAGCAACATAAAGAACAAAGGCAAGACTGGGTGGACAGCATGTCTTTTGTATGCACCAGTGTCTGGGTCCATCCCCAACACACACACACACACACACACACACACACACACCAAAGACAGACTTATATCCCTTTTGCAGGCACCATATTGGTTTTTTCCTGTTCAACTAAACATTTAACTACCTATCCCTTTACACAGGAAAGCAGCAACCTATAACCCCTTAGCCAAATCTGACCTTCTGCCTCTTTTTAGAAATAAAGTTTTATTAGAATACAGCCTCAGAATACACCCATTCATGTTGTCCATCGTTGCTTTCTTAGTATGAGAGGAGAGTAGGTGTGACCAGAATT